TTCTTTTCCATCCACTTTTGTTCCATGTGTGTCCCAACTAGACAAGGTGCTTTAAGCTTGTCTGCATACGTATTCCCTGACGTCTTTGTCACCCCTGTGACAAAGGAGTGTCTCATTCCATTGCTCTCCACAGACACCTTTGTACCTATAATTTTCTCCCTTGCATGTCTCGTCAAGTTGATAGACAAACGCATCCTGCCAATGACAACGGATCTAAGCTTAGCCTCCAAACTCTTGGCATCCTCCACATCCACAAAACGCACAAAACCAAAGTGACGTCCTAGTTTGTCACTCTTTTGAGATATGAAAACATCAACCACCTTCTCCACCATTGAAACACTTGCCACAAGGCCGAAACACCAGTGACAAGTGAAAAATTCATGAAAAATTAAGATGTGGAATTGTTGAGAACTTTTCCAAGATGCCCACCAAATTTATCCCCTCCCCTAGACCTCTGTTCCACCATTGTGTTCTTCAACTCCTTTATTGTGTTTCAATTTTTTCAGCGATTCAGATCTTAGGGTTTTTTATTTTTCGCAGAAGAGGCCATAACCAATAGCGAAGACTATAACAAGTTCAATTGGCACCGATTCTTGCAATCCGTTCTTGTCTCCTTTGATTGGATCTTCGTTGCTCAACAAAGTTGAAGGAGTGGGTGATGCAGGTGGAGCCTGGGGTTTTGATTACGTTCGTGTGTTGCCACATGGCAGGAACGATTTGTGAATGTAGAATTCAATCTAACTTTTTTTAATTATGGCATGAATTCTTGCATTCTAAATATATGTTGAGCAGAAAAATAATGACTTGCAGAAAAAAATAGAAACAATTTCTCATCTAGCAAGACCATCATCTAAAAACTTTTAATGATTTTACAGTTGTGTTCTATTTGCTACAAAAGATGTATGACTCACACACTCTTGTTTTCAAACCAATTATTTCAAGTAAAATATCTTTTATGAATAATAATGTCAAAGTCATTCTATCAAATAAACAACATGAAATAAATAAATAATGACTTAAAGAAAAAAAAATAGAAACCATTTCTCATCCAGCAAGATCATCATCTAAAGACTTTTAATGATTTTACAGTTGTGTTCTATTTGCTACAAAAGATGTATGACTCACACACTCTTGTTTTCAAACCAATTATTTCAAGTAAAATATCTTTTATGAATAATAATGTCAAAGTCATTCTATCAAATAAACAACATGAAATAAATAAATTCAACTGTTAATCATTATTTTAATATCGTACAAATAAATAGCAAGATATTTCTAGCTTCCAAAAGTAGAAAAATAAAGAAGAGAAAGAAAAATAGACAAAAATCTACAAGTTTGATTTTTATATTAATTGTGCTATATTTTTTTTTATATGCTTGATACCTATTTATATTTAAATTAGAAGTAACACAATTCATGTTTTATAAATTTTACCATAATATAAATTTCTAGTAACTTTACCCGTATGATAATGTTATAAATTAACTATTATATTCAACATAGTAATAGTGAAATTTAAAGTAGATTAATTTTTAAAAAAAATTATTTTATTTTTCGTGTTTATTATTTTTTTAGCATATTTACTACCTAAATTAGATTTGATAATAACCTCAAGATGTTGGGTGAGTGGTATTGTCTTGCGTTGGTCACATGCTGTAAAAAATAATTTGTGTCGGTAATAGATTTTTAATAAATTGGAATCTCTAATGATTTTACAATTTTATTAAAATATCAAAAATTTATATTATTATTTCCTAATAAATTTTTATAAATAATTATATTGTTTTAAAAATTATTTAAATATAAGTTTATGTTTATTATACAATAAATATATAATTTTCAATCATGGATTTTTGATAAAACATTGTAACTCTACAAAATATTTATAAATTATTTTTTATATTTTTTTCTAAAATAAATTTTAAGAAAGAAGAAAAATGAGAAAAAATTAATGAGTAATATGATGAAAATTAAAAAAAAAAAAACGAATAAAAGGATAAAATATATCAAATATGATAGATAATGGTAGAATCAAAAGTCATGTAATCTAAACAATTATAAAAAGTATAATAGAAATGATGGAAAAATTCCTTTTATATATAATATAAATATAAATTATAATAAAACATATACACATATTAATAAATCATAAAATTGTTAGTTTTACAGAATAAATTTTTAATTAATATTTTTTTTAACACAAGGAGCTAAACGCTCCACAAAACAAATATCAAGATCTCATTTTAGAAGTGAGCAATCTTAGATAATACAAATTCAGGAAAGATCACAAACATGACATCCAAGATTGAGAAGAAACCAACAATAAAATGCCTCTTTTTAAAATCACAAAAAACTTGTTGCAAAAGAGCAGTATGGTGCATAAATGAATTCTTGAAGATAATGACATTTTTGTTCTTCCAGAGATGCCATATAACAATACCAAAAAGCCTATTCTACTCAGAAAAATTATTATTGCCATGATTATGCAGATTCTGATGTAGACAGATAGAAAGGTTATTACTAAAAAAAATAATTCAATACTAAGATAAAATAAGGTGTTTCCAAACCTGATAGCAAAATAACAATTTCTAAGCACATGTATGATAGTTTCAAGAGCATTATTACATCTAAAGCATAAGGGAGAGCTGGACATATGTCTCCTGAACCTTTCATCATTGGTCAAAAGTCTACAATGAGCAACTTTTCATAGAAAAAGAGTGATTTTGAGAGACTCATCCCGTTTTTAAATCAACTTAAATAGGGAGTTACTAGACTAGGAACTATGATTATTGGCAGATATCAGATTATAAGCAAATTTAATAGAGAATATTCTATTCTCATTGAGTTCTCCAAAAAACTGAGTCTTGAGCTCAGGTATATTAGGGAGATTTAGGGAAAAGATAGAGTCACAGATTGGAGAGGGAAGCATATATTTAATCTTATTTCGATCTCACTCACCTTGAGTAGTAAAAAGGATCACAGGGAGGTCTAAGTCATAGTTTGGAATAGGTTAAAGGGCAAAATTGGACAAGTTTGAAACATAAAGGATCCTATTGTCAGCCTAGAATTTGGTAGTGAGCCCATTACTAATAATCTAACCCAACCCTTGAGAGAAAAAATGTCAAACAGAACACATGCCTTTAGATGAGATGAGTGATTAAGATTACCTAAACTAGGATTCTTCTCAAGAAAAAAATTATACTTGCAAGTGATGACTTGCACCCAAAGAGGGAGAATTTATCATTCTCCAACACAACTTCATTAAATAGGCTTGATTTAACATTTGAAGATCCCTAAAACCTAGACCACCATCATATTTTGTCCTAAACAACTATGTGACATTTCTTGCTTCCAAGGGAACTCTATATAAACTGCCTATAGATTTTGTTAATTTCATGACATACACTTTTAGGATCAACATGACTTGCATTAGGTAAGAAAGGATGCTCATAAGACAAGACTAAGCTGAAACAATTCTACTAGTCATGGATAATGAATTAATTTTCCAATGGAAAATATTTTTCCTGACCTTGTCTATGATGAAAGAAAAATCTTGCTAATAGGGAAACCAAGATATTTTCCACAGTCTTTAGTAGAATTAATACCCAAACAATTGCTAATTTGCTAAACAAGACCAAGATCAGAATTTCTAGAGAAAAATATGGAAGACTTATCATAATTGATTTTCATACCGGAGGGAGAACAAAACTCATCTAAAACAGTTCTAATGATATTAGCATGATGCATATTAGCTTTAGCCACTAAAACAATGTAATTAATAAAGAAATGAGAGACTTAAGGTCTAGAGCTATTGAAAGAGAAAGGAGTCCAATTAGTAGACATTATTCTATCTTTTATTAAGTGAGTTAATCTTTCTATACACAATACAAAAGATAGAGAGAAATGAGATAACCTTACTTAAGATCTCTTAAAGGATAAAAATGATTCAGTTTGACTATTATTTTAATTTAAATATATAGAGATAGAAAAAATACAATAATAAATGAGATTAATTATATTAAAATTAAAACTATTTTTTTAACAATATCTACGTAAAGCATAACGCACCATTCATCTTTTAAAGTATACTACATTACAAAAATACATTTAAGCCACTCAAGACATAATACACCATTTATCTTTTAAATATCTTTGTTATAAGTTTTAAGCTAACATAGTTGATAATCATTTTCAAAAATTAGTTATTAATAAGGTTTTCAATCATTGCACAAGAAATAAATATCTAAATACTCATTTATATTATAATGAACTTAACTATAACATATTTTTTTAAGAAATATTTTTAAAATATATTTTGAACTAAAATGGGAGAAAAATATAATTTAAATATCTCACAAAAAGTAGAATTTTCTCAAATTTTTTATAAAAATATATCAATATATTTTCATTAGAAATTTTAATAAAATATTTATTTAATATTTTTTAACTAATAGATCCAAAATTTATATAAGCTCGGTTGTGCACGTTCCAGTGAAAAGGCATTATTGGTTACATAAATTATCTATTTGGGTGGGGTTGGTATGTACGCTGACTATAGTTACCGTTAGTTTCATTGACATTGTTCATAGCACGTGACACGCGCGTGATCACATTCTACATTTGAATTCGGACTTGAGCGCCGTTTCCTCAAATCCACTTTAATCTAACCCAACACGTCCACATTCAAAATCACGACACTTACCCTCCCTTCTCTGTTCAAAACGCAGAACCCTTCGTTCTGTTCTTCTCATTCCCTTCTCTCTCTCACACACCATTGCTACCTTTGTTCCTTTCACAGGTAAGCTACCTCACACTTCAAATCCCCTTCCATCGTAACCTTGCTAGCTTCAACACTCGACGCTTTTTCACAATCAATTACGGTTATGCTGGGGTGAAAAAAATTGAGTTTCGAAATGAAATGAAACTCTAAACGACGTTCTTCGAGTTAATTTTCGCGTTTTCGATTGGGTTATAGGGTTTCCAATTCCAATTGGTTAGAGATGGAACACTCCGATTCAACGCAGTGCGTGCGAGTTGCTGTTAACATTCGTCCTCTGATTACGTCTGAACTTTTGCTTGGTTGCACAGACTGCATCTCTGTTGTTCCTGGTGAACCTCAGGTGCGTTTTCTTTTGGATTTGAATTCACTTTTTCTTTTTGCATTTGGTGTTAGCTGCTATTACACACTCAGTCAATTCATATGATCTATGCGTGTGTGAGGTTTAAGTTTTGATTTAGATTTAGTGAATATTATAAGCTTGAATTTTTATAAGCATACCTGAAATTGACGAGTGATTTTTTTTGTTGGGTGCTTTGTAGGTGCAAATTGGGTCTCACGCTTTCACCTATGATTATGTCTACGGTAGTACGGGGTCGCCTTCGTCTGCAATATACGATGATTGTGTAGCTCCTCTTGTCGATGCGCTCTTCCATGGCTATAATGCAACGGTTCTTGCCTATGGCCAGGTATAATTTTCACATGTGTTATTGATCCTGATGATTGGGAAAAAAATTATTTCAGAATTTTTGTCTTGTTTTGTTATGTTTAGTCTGCATTTCAGTAGTTGGTAACTGGGTTTTTGTTCTCAGACTGGATCTGGGAAGACATACACCATGGGTACCAATTACACCGGAGAGGAAAATTCCGGTGGAATTATACCCAAGGTGATGGAGACAATATTCAAGAGGGTTCAGGTTATGAAGGAATCCTCAGAGTTTTTGATTCGAGTATCTTTTATCGAGGTAAATAATAGATTTAATGAATTTGTTCTGTAATTGAGATCAGACTCTTGAAACATTGAAGTTTGAATTGCCAAAATAATGACAGATATTCAAGGAAGAGGTATTTGACTTACTTGATCCCAATTCATCTAGAGGAGATGTGGCTTCTACTGCAAAGCCTGCTGTGCCCACCAGAGTTCCCATACAAATTAGAGAAACGGTGAATGGAGGAATAACATTGGCTGGTGTGACTGAGGCTGAAGTTAAGACAAAAGAAGAAATGTCATCTTATCTTTCTCGAGGTTCATTGTCTCGTGCCACTGGGAGCACAAACATGAACAGTCAATCAAGGTAAACTGCTATAGTTAAGTCTGAGGCATTATTTATTTTATGAATAATTTCTAAATGTTTGATTTGATAAAATTGACTCTAGTATAAAATAATGCATATTACAATTTACACATGATGCATTTTTTCCTCCTGCTTAGACTGCAACTTACATCATAGTATGATGACCGTGTGGTTTATGTGCTTTGTCTAGTCGTTCACATGCTATATTCACAATCACAATGGAGCAAAAGAATGGTGATGATGTCTTGTGTGCAAAACTACATTTGGTGGACCTTGCTGGTTCTGAACGTGCAAAAAGAACTGGTGCAGATGGCATGCGTTTGAAAGAAGGTATTCCTGTTGTTTGTGATTGTAATACGCCATAATTTTAAGAATAGCAATAGAACAGATTTAAGATAAAAATATGTTCTCTAGTATGTCATATTTGTCACAAATCTCAATAGAATTCTGAAAATCTTACATTTTATAAATGCAGTTTTTTAAGGAATTTAATAATAATTTAGTCTTTTCATTGTCAAGGCATTCATATCAACAAGGGTTTATTAGCTCTTGGAAATGTAATAAGTGCACTGGGGGATGAACGAAAGCGGAAAGAAGGTGGCCATGTGCCGTATCGTGATAGCAAATTAACACGCCTACTGCAGGTTCGCACAGTATTTGTTTCAACATTACATCTACTTCCCTTGAGCAGCTCCGTATATAATGTGTATGATTTTTTCAATGACGTGCTCTGAGGCTTCCTTGACTCATGCATTATAGGGAAAGGGAGTGTGCGTATTCTTTTTGTTTGAACATACCATTAAAGCTTTTGAATTGAGTGTTTGAGGGATTTGTATTGCTCCAATCTTGAAACTTGTTTTAAAAAGCCATTGTTACTGAAAAATGTGAAGATAAAGTTTAAGATGTTGTGTTTACTTTTGACATATCTACATAATGACATGCAATTGGTTAATGAATATGTAGGATTCTCTTGGAGGAAACAGCAAAACTGTGATGATAGGTACATTACTTCCTCGGTTGTTGATGTTATTCTTTAAAATTTTTATACTTGTTAATATCAAATGTATCATTTAAATATTGAATCTGTTTGGAATGCTGCAGCATGTGTCAGTCCTGCTGATACAAATGCTGAAGAGACATTGAACACTTTAAAGTATGCGAACCGTGCTCGCAACATTCAGAACAAGGCTATCGTAAGTGCTCTGTATTTGTGTTCTCAATGTTTCTTTTTGTCCTTTTTTTTTTAAATTTTGAGCAGTTGTTTATGTTATATTTGGTGATTTTAAATTTTCTTGTTTTAGATTAATCGTGATCCAGTAGGAGCTCAGCTACAGAGAATGCGAAGTCAGATTGAGCAATTACAGTCTGAGCTTCTATTTTATAAAGGTGATGCTGGTGGGCCATTTGAGGAACTCCAGGTACATCATTATTTTAGGATGTTTCTGAAGTTGATCCCTCATTACCGGTCTTAAGTTTCTAATGTCCCTTGTTTTTTTAGATTCTTAAACACAAAATAACCTTACTAGAAGCAAGCAATGCAGAGCTACAGCGGGAACTTAAAGAACGTCGAGTAACTTGTGAGAGTTTAGCACAACGTGCTTGTGATGCTCAGGTTTTTCTTAAATCCTTTATGTTCTCAATTCTAATAAACTGGTGGGCGATTACCAAAAAAACAAAGTTGCTAGTTACCTTACAATATCGTGGTGTGTTATTTGCATTGAAGTTGCCGGGTCTCACCCAAGGTGTTGAATTTTTAGGTAGAAAAGGACCAACTGATTATGAAAATAGAATCGGTTCGAAATGGTAAATCTTGGGATGAAATTGACTCAAATTCAAATCAGGTTTGAACTCATCAAGTCATTACTAATGCGTAATTACAATTTCCTACTGAAGCAATCCATCAGTGATTAATGGTCTGAATTTGTTTCTAGGATTATGACCTGGTGAAATCTTATGTGTCAAAGATCCAAGATCTGGAAAGTGAATTGCTGCGTCTGAGAAATTCGAATCTGAAATCTAGCCAATCTGTTGACTGGGTTGATTCAGATGATAGTGGATTCCAATCAAAGAATGGTTTATTTGCATGTGGTAACGAGTATTCTGATAGCGATGCCAAATCTGTGGACATAACAGGTATGGAAGTTGTTATGTATTATTGAACAATGTGCTGATGTTCATATTATTCTTGACAAATTTGTGATGGTTGAGACAAGTACATCAAATTAATTTGATGACAAATTCGTTTCGCAAATCTACACTTCAGCAGTATTTTAGGCTTCTTAATATCCAAAAGTTTGTATTTCATTTTCTGCTATCACTTTGAATTGATATGAATTCCTAAATATCAATAGATAATTTTTTAACATTGTGGAACTTGCTATGCAGAGGACGCGGAAGATCATGCAAAGGAAATGGAGCACTCTTCTCTTCAAGAAAAGTTGGATAAGGAGCTCAAAGAATTGGATAAGAAACTTGAACAAAAAGAGGTAAAAGTTGCCGGATCTAGTTTATAATCACAAAAATTCTGAATATTTTGTTATGTTTTTGTTTGCCAATATCTTTATCAAATTAAACAAGTTGGCAACATATTGGATACACATTTTATTACAGGTTTAGTGTTGATTTTGGAAATGTTTTTAATGCCTAATCTTTTATTCTTAATTTTTTGTTGAAGGCGGAAATGAAGCTGTTTAATAATGCTGATACTTCAGTTCTTAAGCATCATTATGAAAAGAAACTTCTTGAGTTAGAACAAGAGAAGAAATTTTTGCAGGTATTTAATCTGTGCTATCGTGAATGGCATTTAAAATGTTACAATTGTAACTCCGTTCCTTTTTATATTATTCGTAGAAAGAAATTGAGGAACTTAGGTGCAATCTTGCAAATATTTCATCCACCTCTGGTGATGGCGCTCAAAAGTTAAAGGAAGAATATCTTCAAAAATTAAATGCTCTGGAAGCACAGGTGAACGAATTTATTGGAATGTCTTAACTCTTAATGGCCACTCAATTTGTTAACCTGGTTATTTGTTTTCCAGGTCTCTGAACTAAAGAAGAAACAAGAAGCTCAGGCTCAACTGTTGAGACAAAAACAGAAAAGTGACGAGGCAGCGAAAAGACTTCAGGATGAGATCCAGAGAATTAAATCTCAAAAGGTGCCATGGTCCTCTTAATGAAACTTGTACCGTCAAGCAGAAGGCAGAGTTTCTTTTATTTTTTCCATAGGATTATCATTGATAATTTATTTTCTTTAGGTTCAACTGCAACATAAGATTAAGCAGGAATCAGAACAATTTAGGTTATGGAAAGCTTCACGCGAAAAAGAAGTTCTCCAGGTAAATGCAGATAGAAAATTTATTTAAAATTTTTCAATAAAAAATTACCCTTTTTATTTTATTACTGCATTCTGTAATTGTGCAGAGTGAAATCTTTCTAGTGGTGTTCATTTTTCCTTTTTTTTTTTTTTTTCCAATATCATATCCCTGTGCATATGAGGAATGATCTCTTGTGTTTAACACAGAATTGATTAGTTAGGGAAACTGCTAATACATATTTTAAGTAATTTCCAGCTTAAAAAAGAAGGAAGAAGGAATGAATATGAGATGCATAAGCTGCTAGCGTTGAATCAGAGGCAAAAGATGGTAAGTAGATGTTAAAAATCACTTGCTATTGTGGTTTTATTTTGGATGCTGGTAATTCCCATTATTCATGGGTTCATTGCATTGCAGGTATTGCAAAGGAAGACAGAAGAAGCTTCCTTGGCTACAAAAAGGCTAAAAGAACTTTTGGAATCTCGAAAGGCTTCGTCACGTGAAACTACAGGTTAGGAGATTAACTGTGGCACGCAGCTTTACCTATTTTGTGAACTTGTTAATAACTGGCAGTTCTTTCCTTTTTTTCTTATACCCCGGTGCTGCAGGCGGGAATGGTCCTGGAATTCAGGTACTTCTATTTCTCTGTTTGTGAATCACGAGTATTTAAGTTGTTGATGAACGATCGGCGTTGCTAAATATTCTATACATTTTAGTGGATGTCTTCGGTGTTTTAATTGCTCCTTCTTGATATATGTGTTTCTATTTGAAGGCTTTGATGCAGGCAATAGAGCATGAGCTTGAAGTCACAGTCCGAGTACACGAAGTTCGTTCAGCGTATGAGCGTCAAATGGAAGAGTATGTTCTTTTTTTTACATGGTTAAATTTTAGTATCTGATATTACTTACAAATTAACCCTCTTATAAGTGCTTTGTTAGATTTTAAAATTTCTGCAGATATCAGTTAATTATGAAAGGGATCAAAATATTTTTAAAGGAACTAATTTATAAATGTGTTAAATATATGAATTAATTATACATTTTAACCAATTATGATTCTTAAAAATATTAAACACCTAACTTAGTTGATAAAAAACATGTATTATAATTTAATTTTATTTTCATATAACACTTAATTTTTGACTAATGCAAATTTTACTTAATTTCATATTTATATCTTTTATTCTATCTTTATAAGAATAAATAAACTATTAATTTTAATATTTTTATTTTTAATATATATCAATTTATATATAATATATTTTGTATATGATATATCAATTTTTAATAAATTTTTCAAAATGATTATTTTGTAAGAGATAAAATATTTATTATATTTAAAATATAAAATTTATTCGTTATTTAAAACTTTAAAAAATCAATTTTATTATATAAATTTTTTTATAAATTTTTATCGTTATATAAATAAACAACTTATTATATTAATTATAATTATAATTTTTTTATTAATCTTTGTAATTTTTATTAATTTTTATATTTACTAAATCAATAAATATATATGATTTTAAATTATAAATTTATTTATGATTTAGACATATGAGATTTCAATTTTCTAAAAAATCATAATTCTTTTATTTAGTATTTTATTTTTAGTTTTTCTTATAATTTCACCAAAAATATTTTTATTTTAGTTAAAGTATACATTTATCTCTAATCATATATGGATTAAATTTTATACTTAAAAAACTAATAAAGTCTCTCTAAGAATGTTTTCTTATATTTTAATATTTGTTGTAATAACACTATTAATGAGTACTAAAACATAAACTATATGAATGAATCAATTTAATAAAATACTTTTACATGAATTAAAATATAATTTTTCTTAAAATATAAACACACTTCGTAAATGAATATCAACTCTGAGAATTAAATATATAATTTTTTATTATTTTTTTACATTTAGATTCTTCACGGACCTTTAGATTGAGTGACTTTTTTTCTGATTAAATCAACGAGCGCACAAGTTTGAAAAATATGAAGGCCAGGGCTTTTGAAAACCAGTTGCCTGTTAATATATGTAAGAATTTCATCTCATAAATTTTTATATTTTAGTTTTAAACTTAATTTTACTTTTTATTCTTAAACTTTACTAATTATATTTAATTTTGGTCGCTTTAGTTTTACTTGCTCGTATATAATTTTTTAATTGTTCAAATTAAATCTTTTGTTTCAAAAATTTACTCTATAATATATATATATATATATATATATATTTATTTATTTATTTATTAATTCTAATAAAAATATATTTTTGTTGATTATTGGATGGAATTTTTGAAATAAAAGACTTAATTTAAATAATTAAAAATATAGAAAAATTAAATGCGAGCCACTAATTATAGAAACTAAATTCACGTATAAGGAATAAAAGTCCAGTTTATTAAGCCTTGTATTTATTTTGTTTTGTTTGCAAAGTTTGCTTTTATATTTCCTTTATGATTCAAAGCTCAAACTCAACAAAGAGAAAATATGAACCAATTTACTAATTATCCGGGCATATATGTCTTGATAATATCGAACGGTGGATGTTATCATCACTGTTAATAGTTTCGCTCACGAACTATTCATTTCAGGAGGGCTAAAATGGCCAAGGAGATTGCCAGATTGAAGGAAGAAGCAGAGACGATGAAGCTAAACAATACAAGGTGAAAAAGCCTTGCAGTTAATTATTGTACAATGTTGTATTTTTTGTTTGCAATTTATGATTGATACATCTTGACTGATTCCTAATATAGGGATGGCCTCGCGTCAATGTCTCCGGGTGCAAGAAATTCAAGGATATTTGCCCTTGAAAACATGCTTTCTACTTCTTCTACAACACTAGTGTCAATGGCATCTCAGTTGTCAGAGGCAGAAGAGCGGGAACGGGTTTTCAGTGGCAAGGGACGTTGGAACCAAGTCCGGTCCCTTGCTGATGCCAAGAATTTGATGAATCATTTATTCAATCTAGCATCTTCCTCCAGGTATAGCCTATTTACTAGTCAATTTATTGTCTGTGATTGAAGTTAACTTGCCTTTAAAAGTTATTAATTAGAGATATTCTTCTGAAATAAAAAAGCTGTTAATCTCAAGTAAAAACCATAAGTTGCCTTTGTAATGGTATGGCTGAATTTTTTCTCTGCCTTTCTATATTTCAGGTGTTTATTGCGAGATAAAGAAGTTACCTGCAGAGAGAAGGACACAGAAATAAGAGATCTAAAAGAAAAAGTAGTTAGGCTGAGTTGTTCAATTCGACAGATGGAAATGCAGAAGGCTGAACTTATTCATCAGTTGAAGTTGCAGGTTAGTATGTTTGGTTGAGAGCTCCGTTTCATCCAGATTAAGCTTGAAAAATAAATTTTGTAATGCAACTTAGGATTTACCAATATGCGAAAACCCGAATTTTTCTCCGTTCCGAATTTAGGTTGCACTTTATAAAATTGAAGAAATATCTGTCCTTAATTCTTGTAACTTCGATTCTCCAATTAATAGGTAAATTCTTCTCTTTCTGTTTTTATAACCATATTATTTTAACTTTATGACAGAGTGCAAAGAGATACTTGGAATCTGTGGGAGATTCGGCATATTCTGACGTAAATGTTGGAGGACATAAGTATGGCTTGCGCAAGGTGGTAGGTCTCTCGCATATCACTAAATCCCTTTTTTCTGGGGTCGATATAGTTAATGACCAATTGGTTATCATTTAGGAACACCGGAGATCTTCCATTTTACTGGAGGATATGGATTTATCAGTATCAGATACAGAATCAGATGATTATTATGTTCCAGATGCAACTGATGATGAATGGCCAACAGAAAAAATACACGTTAAGAAAAGAACATCTAAAAGTAGACATTTAAGCGTGGAAAATAATCAGTCAACTGTCAGTTCAGAAGATGTCAAAGATAATTCAACAGAAGGACTTGAAGGTGCATCCGGGGAAACTGCATCAGATATCTGCTGCTCCTGTAGTAAATCTTCATCTTGCAAGACAAACAAATGCAAGTGCAGGGCTCTGGGCAACAGTTGTGGGAGTTCTTGTGGTTGCCTAGCATCCAAGTGTGCCAACAGAGCATCAGTCTCAAATGAAGGGACCAGTAATGATTCTAGCACTGAGGAAGCAGACAAGGATCGCCTCCTTGCTGCTCAAGGTGCTGAGTTGCTTCAGGGTGCACTGGTTGAGGGGCCTGCTGAGGCCCACAGTGTTCATGGGCCAAGAAAACCTCTCTCTGATATTGGCAATACACTGGTGCGTGAGTCATACTTTGAAAATTCAACTATTTCCTTAAAACATATAATAAAACTTATCTATCTCTGCATTAAGAAAACTCGTCTAATTAATTGTATCATCAATTTGTTTTTTATGTCTTTGCATGTGAACTGGATGTAATTCAAAATTCAAATTACTGCAGATCGCATTAATCCACATCAATTTCTTCAGGCATTTTTTTAATGTCATCCGCGTCGCTGGGTCTACGACGATCTTCTAACTATTGTTGTTTCTTTTTGCAGGCCAAATCAAATGCCCAGAAAGCTAATCAAAGAAAGAAATGGCGGAAGTCCACAATAGTTCTTGTTTCAGACCCGCCACCTTCCTCGCAGTCAGATAACTCTGAAGTCTCAAAGAAAGAAAGTAACAGCATTAGTGAAGCGAATGTATTTATGAACATACCACAGAAAATGCACTGGAGTAGACCTGAAAATGTTTCAGTTGCCCCGAAGGTAGAGAAAAGTTTAACTGAGACAGATATACCTTTGAGAATACCACGGGCTATGCGAAAACAAGTATCATCAAATGTTGGTGGCCTTCCACTGGGAGACAGGAATGCTAGTAATAAGCCAGATGAATCTGTCAACAAGAAGGATTCTGAAGTGGTTGAAGCTAGAAGTCCGGTCCAACCAAAAAAAATATTTGAGAAAGAGAACAATGGACGTTAATCTTGAATCCGTTTTTTACTTCTTACCCTTTTAAGGGAAAAACCAAAACCCAGAGTTTAAGACGCATGCCATTACCATAAACTTATGGTGTATCTGTTGAAGATTGAAGAGCCCCGTGGTGTGTATATCGGGTGACTAGACGTGTATCAATCAAAATGATTTTCGTTTGTCTTCAGTAGACAAATAGATTATTTGGCTTCCTTTCTTGCTTATTAGACTGTTTGTGCAAGCGATTCTATGCTGATGATCATCAAATTATCTCGGCATTATCCTTTAGTGTAATCACTTTGTATCAATGATCACATGAGTCGAGTTATTCACTTCGAAAAATCCTTGACCTTATTGATTCCATGCTGTTGGTTGCTTTTTTTTGCGGATTCTTATGATATTCCGTGTTTTATCTGTGCGCATAAATCTATGGTATAAATGCCACTATATGACATTGCGTAGAGTTATAATTAAAAATCTCAGGAATATATAGTTAGTTCCGTTGGCGGAATGCAAAAATAGCACGACACTAATTCGACGATAACAGTTGTACCACTTCCTTGCATCATTTCCGTCAAACATTTTTTTAAAAAAATTTGTTAATTAACCAGTAAAGTTAAAATAGTTGGATTCGGAACTTGTTGGTGCCAAACTCTTTCGAATATCAGTTGGAACTATAAAAATTTGACATTATAATATTATACATTATTTTTATAAAATAAAATCTTTAAAAACATTTTAAACAAAAAAAAGACAAATAAATGTCCTATCTAAACTCGTAATTAACGTGTCTTGAGATTAAACCATGCTTATTATGATTTTTTCTTTTGTGTGAGAGCATTAAATACGTAACTTTAATACTGAGATCATACTTACTGACCACTATAATAGTAAAGAAAGAAGACTTAGGGGCTTATTCATGTACATACTTAGATAAAGGTAATTATGATTGTTACAATTGTCATAAATTAAGTAATTTTAATACTAAATGTGTATATATAGTTATTTTGAAATGTAGTAATCTAACGAGCATTTTAAAATATTTGTATTTAATTGTCATTAACATGCATCCGATTCTTAACAATTAAGCACATCTAACTATTGAATTTAAAAATTAAGAAAAAATTTATTTAAAAATGAGATTATGTTAATATTCAAAAGTGAATACACTTTTATTTGGTCACTTTAAAGATAAAATTACTTTTAATAAATCTTGTCCAAAAATTAATTTTTAAATCAGAATTTCGTAACTTATAAATAAATTACAAAATTGAGACTACTTAAGGGTGTTTATTGAATACCATGACGTTGATGGTAAGTTTTCAAGCCATATAGTGATAAATGTGCAATAATGCAATGTTTGTAATGAAATAAACACGTGGCTAGATGAATTAGTTCGTTGGCATAGAAGAATCATTATTAAATGACATGCTTGTAACTTGGTCTTGAGATATTTAGAATTAAAGCAGAGAAAAATAAACCTTGAGCAGGACATCCCTTTAAGTAACGAAGAACTCGAAGAGCAGCCATGTGATGATGATCTAAAGGATTGGACATGAATTGACTTAGTTAATGTACAGAATAGGCAATATCTGGGCGAGTAATTGTGAGATATAAAAGCCTCCCAACCAAGCGTCTATAACTGGCAGCATCAGGGAATGGTTGACCTTGATCAGCTTGGAGCTTAACTGAAGGATCAAAAGGGATCTTGGCAGGTTTAGATCCAATTAAGCCACTGTCCTCTAGAAGTTCAAGAGCATATTTCCTTTGGTTCATGTGAATGCCAGATTTGGAGTGAGCAATTTCAAGGCCAAGAAAGTATCTGAGAGAACTTAGATCCTTGATTTTGAATTTATCGTCCAAAATTTGTTTAACATGAGAAATTTCATTCATATCATTGCCAGCTAAAACAATATCATCCACATAAACTAATAATGCAGTGAATGAATTAGAAGTGGACTTGGTAAATAAAGCATGATCTGCAGAAGATTGTTTGTAGTTAAGGGAAATAAGAGTAGTAGACAAAGTGCTGTGCCATTGTCTGCTAGCTTGCTTAAGACCATAGAGTGACTTATGCAACTTGCAAACCTTAGAGGAACCAGATGGAAGCAAATCAGGAGGAGGAATCATGTAAACTTCTTCATCTAGATTGCCATGAAGAAAGGCATTATTCACATCTAATTGTTCCAAAAACTAGTCTTTGACAGTTGCTAAAGCAAGTAAGACTCTCACAGTAGTGATCTTAGCAACAAGTGAATAAGTGTCAAAGAAATCAACTCCATCCAATTGTGTGTAACCCTTAGCCACTAATCTGGCTTTGTATCTTTCAATGGACCCATCAGCATGATATTTAACCTTGTAGACCCATTTGCAGCCAATAGGATTCTTACCACTTGGGAGATCAACAAGAGACCAAGTTTGGTTTTGCTGTAAAACTTGTAACTCAGTATTCATGGCCTTTTGTCAACAATCCAATTTAGATGCTTGAGTATATGAAGTTGGTTCAGGAATAGTAGTGACAGAGAGACAAAATTTTATACGAATTGTTACAATGAGTGTAGTCAAGAACAGAAGAAAGGGGATAAGGATGAATACCTGCAGAAGGAATCTTGGAACGGTTTGGAGCAATCACTGAATTACAGTGAAAATCTGCTAGGTAAGAAGGTTTGTGTCGGATTCTGGTGGAATGTCTTGTGGGTTGAGGTGAATGAATTTCTGAAAGAGGATTGAGAGCAACATTTTGTTCATGGGTCAGAGAAGAGGTGTTGTTTATTGGAGAATTATTAGGAGGTATGGGTGGAGAATATAAGGTTTCTGTGTTTGTGGTGGTCAATATGGGAGGTTGGTTTGTAGGATGAATGCTTGATAACCCTGTGAAAGGAAACACATTTTAATAAAGTATAACATTCCTTGAGATAAAAATTTGATGAGATTGGAGATCATATAGAACATAACCTTTGGTGCCTTCCTTATAACCTAAGAACACAGATTTTTTAGCTTTAGGTTGGAACTTGGTTCTGTGTGATTGGATTGTAGTAGCAAAGGCCAAACAACCAAAAACCTTTAGGTGAATCATGCTAGGTGGCTGAGCATACAATAATTCATATGGACACTATAATTTTAATAAAGGGGTAGGTAATCTGTTAATGATATGCACAGCTTGTTGTATAGCAAAATGCCAAAAAATTTGAGGAATATTAGCTTGATAGAAAATTGCTCTAGCCACATTCAAAATATGTTGATGTTTTCTTTCAACAATTCCATTTTGTTAGGGAGTTTTCACACAATTTCTTTGGTGAATTATGCCTTTTGAGGAAAAGAAGTCATGCAACAGAAATTTCACACCATTATCACTTCTAAAACACTTCAACTTGGTATTAAATTGTGTTTCAATATAAGAAATGAATTGTATTATACAGTTTCTGGTTTCAGTTTTTGTTTTCATTAGTATAATTCATGTAAATCGAGAATAATCATTAGCTAAAGTAAGAAAATATCTATGCTCGGATAGGGAAGGTACAGAATATGGTCCCCATATATCTCCATCTAGAATGTCAAAAATTTTATTTGAATGTGTTTCACTAGTATAATGTGGCAGTTTTCTTTGTCTAGAAAAATGACAAATATCATAGGGAGAAGTATTTATACAATGAGGAATGAAAGGAAATTGTCTAAGTATTACTTGCATAAGAGAATTTGAAACATGGCCTAGTCTATGGTGCCAAAGAGAGGTTTCTTTTGAGACAACAGTAGTCTGGTAGGCTGAAGCTGTTTGAGATTTATTTTTCTGTGGTAGAAGATTCATCACATATAATCCATGTTGCAGCCTAGCTGAACCAATCTTCTTCCTGGAAGTATTCTGCACAATTGTACAAGAGTTAGTGTCAAAAATCAAATGGCATTGCAGAGATTTGATCAATTGAGTGACAGATACCAGATTGACATGAAAATCTGGGACATACAAGACATCATGTAGGATCAATGAATCAGACAAAATGATAGTACCAGAAATGGAAGTGGTTACCTTAATGCCATTAGGTAAGGAAATGAGTATTAGTTGAATGTGCTTATATTTAGCAAAACTGTGAAAATTGAAAGTCATGTGGTCAGTGGCACCTGTATCCAGAAGCCACTTATTGAATTGTTTACCTTGAGAAATATTTGAAAGAGGATCATAAGGAGAAACAACTGAGTTAGCTGAGGAAGTATAGTAGACAGAAGGTGATGTGACTGAATTAGCTGAATGTGCAACACTTGATGCATTTGTTTTGGATTGTTCCAAAAGATCAAGAATACTGTGATACTGCTCTTCAATGAAATTAATCCCTAATCTTGGAGTCTCTTGATGGCTTGAAGTATCAACTGTATCAGAATCTAGAGGAAAAATGTTAGCATTAGCAAAATTAGCCATTCAAGCATTTTTGGATTGATAACTGGTGGAAAACCATGCTTGAAGTAGCATATATCAACTGTATGATTTGTTCTCTCACAATAGGTCCAGAACTAGGTTCATTGCTGACCTCTTCCTTGATAATTCCTTCCTCTGCCTCTGTTGGAATAACCACTTCTTCCTCTACCACAATTATAATTTCCATTATTCCTTGGCTGTGAATTTTGAGAGCTAGATACAGCCAGTGCCTTAAGGTCAGAAGCAGTGTCAGAAGGAGCAAGAACAATATTGAATTGTCTTTCTTGTTGTATCACTATATTAAAAACCTTGGTTATGTCAGGCAATGGATCTAATAACATTATCTGAGATCTAACTTGAACATATTGCTCATTCAATCCTTTAAGAAAATGAATTACATAATCTTGTTCCTTATATTTCTTCATAGATTCAACAACACCACAAAAGCAAGGAGTGGAGCATTTACAATCTAAAGTAGGTCTGAAATTGTCTATTTCTTCCCAAATGGTTCTCAATTCAGTATAAAACTCTAAAACTGATAGTGTACCTTGATTCAATTTGTAAAGTTCTTCTTGCAGATCTGCAACTCTGAATATGTCTCCTTGATAGAATCAGTTGTGAAGATCCTTCCATACATCTGAGGCCTTTTCTATCCAGAGAATTAATTTCAGGATTGATCATGCACAGATCTTTGAAGCCAAGAAAGGAGCATAGTGTTACATCTATCCCAAGGTTCA